GAATTTAAATACTTTAACACATCGGTTATATTTATAGTAAAATTATTAACATTAACAAAATCATTATCAGCACATTTAAAATTGTCAGTGTCATTCTGATCAAAACTGTAAACTGAACAAAAATATTTAGCAAAAGCGTCTGCAGTTGACTGATTTTCAGTAAAAACTTTATCTTCTAATCTCATTTTACTAGGCATATCACAATTATGACGTTTAGAGTTCAAAAACTTCCAAAATGGTTTGAAGCTAAAATTAATCAACATTTCGGTATCCTGAACATATGATTGTCAACATTTTTTTGACAATCAGCGCGATCCTAAATTTTTATACTCATTATAATGGTGATTAGAATTGCTTTTTTTATATCTCAAATGAGCTGCTTTTTTTCCGATATCAAGTTTTTTATTTCCGTTGTAAACTAAATTGGAAATTTGTTATTGTAATTAATTTTTTTCTTAGGTACAAATAATTCTAAATTACTATAAACAATGTCATAGAAAATTGATACACAACTATTAACATCATTGTAAATAAAATACTGATCCCAGTTAATATTAATAAAAAGATCATTTAGGCTTTTATAGTCGGCCAAGTTAAAATCATAAATATTCTCATTCACATTACCACCTTCATTAAAGTTTAAAGACAAAGACAACTCAAGAGGTGGATGGTGTAAACTAGGTTTCAATAGAAAATAATCAGATAGAGACACACAATATCTACTAAAAACTAAATCTAAAACTCTGTTGTGGATAGTGGATTTCATTTAACTGATACATGTTGCTTAGCACTAAGTACTCAATTAACGTTGTGCTCTTGGACCTCCATTACTGGCTATAACACCATCAATTTCATTTAGCCAAAAAACTTCCGGAAGATTGTAATCGCCGACAAAATATATATTCTTGTCATCATAGCTTTCACATATATGTTCAACAGTTTGACCATGATACTCATACACATCCACACGGGAAGAAGGTGGGATATACACGACACAAATGCAACATTTCTTTTGAATCGGTACACAAATTTGATCACAATAAACTGCACCAATGGGGAGTTTCAACTTCACAGAATCGATGTTATTTTTAACAGCAATTAAGATTCATCCTTTTCTAGATTTACCTGTCAGTTCTGTATCGCGATCGTATCTGTATAACGAGTAGCCGGCAAACCTCAACTCTGCGTCCTCAATACCAATACACAGCCAAGTTTCAACATCGAAATCACAAGTAGACAAAGCAGTAACAAATTCCTTGGTTCTAGTTCTCATACCACCAACATTTTGATAATACAGGGACAATTGATTTAGTTTTCTAAAAAAATGTGTATTCTTATGGTTAGATTCGTATCTAGGAGCACGTGGTAAAAATTCCCTTACTGTAGCTTGACAGGGCCATATATCAGGATGCAGCAGTGCATCAAACAGAGATTGTCGTACACTCACTTTAAATGAACAATAATAGTCATTAGAAGTTAAAGTTTTGACCGAAAAATCAGTTTTTTTAACGAATGCTTTTTCGTTATGTAATCTCCAACCTGTTTGCAAATAAAAATGGTAAAAGTTTCCCTTTTGTTCTAATATGATTTTTTTTAGCACCAACATTTGAAAGCTGGAAAAGCAATTTTGAAATGGTTAATATAAGTGTAACTAATATTTACACTATAGCTAGAGCGTAGGAGAGTACAGAAGGAAATGTTATTTATTATGATTGCAATCTAACAAAAACAGGTAAGATGAATAATTTTCAGTTGTTTAAAACATTTAATGCAAATTTAACAGGTAAGCAATGCTCAGAACTATGATGTCGCTTGTTGAAAAGTCACGGAAGTTTTGTAAATTAGATGTTATTGCTCGTTGTTGCACAAGTCATATAAACCTAAGAGTTTGAAAGTTATTATTTCATATAAAAACTACAAAACTAAGGAATTTAAATATATTTGTAATATCGTTCGACAGTACTATGGCATGCACTTGAGCTTACAATAAGAATTATCAATCAAAATAAATAAGAGATTATAGGCATATTCTTTAGTAAATTTAAAACTATTACAAGAAACATCTAGTCAAATTTTTTATTAAGGAAAATAAATCCAAACTTAAATGTGACCAAAACGTAAAATAAAAGAAAACAAGAAATTATCTATGCCATATGTAATACAAAATAAAACGTACGACCGTTTCCCTTCAAAAACAATTACTGCTTTGGATAATTCCGCAATAGACATTGAATTATATCCAAAGAAAAACTACAAAGTTAAAAAATTAATATTTCAACATTCAAACTTTTATCTTGCTTATCATAGAGAGCGTTATTCTTGGACCGGCCTTGTCCTTATTAGGACTCATCAGCAAGGAATAGACATTCTCGATTTCGGTCACTAAAGGAATCTGAAAAGGCAGAGGTTGTGAGAGAATAAGTAGTAACAAAGCTTCGATTTTGCCAAGTGCGAAGGGTTTTACTTTTTTACCTTGTGTAATAAATATAATACTACAGTAAATATATGTTAATATTATGTTATTAAACTTAAAACATTTATATTACATTATAAAAAATAAAAAAACCTATTTAATAAAAGTTAATAAGGAACAAAAAATACAAATTTAGTTTTTTAAATTTTCATTACTGTTTGAACAAGATCATCTTTGTTAAGGTTTTTAATAATCGACATGTGATTTTCCTCCAAGGTTAGATACTCATAATTATAATTATTGATTTCTCAAAACAATTTTTTATTTTAAACTAATGGGAATGAACATTTTTTTGGCAAGTAATTGATTATGTGATTAAAAATACTTTTTTTAAAAATAATTCGACAGTTTCACACTAGTAATTACAGCCGAAACTGTTAAATTATCCCATTTTTTCCTAAAAAAATAATTTTCAGTTGCTGTTGCGCTAGAAAGTGTATCCTGGCCAGTAGAATATTTGATCAATTTTTTTGCAACATAAACAATGTTTTTTGAAATATTTAACAACTTAATTACAGTGTCTGTATACTTATTTTCTAACATAATATAATAATAATAATTCAACTTTTCCATCCTGGCTCCAGGAAAACGGTATGGAACACAACGCCATTGAATAGAGAGAAATAAAATAATACAAATGAGTGTGGACCGCAATAACCCATGCATATTACATTTCTTTGAAGTTCTTTTTCCATATTTACAAATACGATGACCAGACTCACGAATTTAAATTTCAATAAAATGAAAAAGGATATTAAAACAACTATAAGGTTTAAGATTATGCCTCTATATCCATTTGACAGTTTTATTTAAGTTTGCGCAGTCGTAATGTGATTAAGAAAGGCACAGAACCGCAAATTCTTGTGAGATTAGCTAACTTCTCAAATGTCATGTTTTCCAACGTTGAATAAAAATGAACATTGCAAACTTGTGGCTCCGAAAAAATAACAAATATTTACTCAACGTTCAAAATTGTCGTTGAAATCGGCATGGAAAGTTTCCAGCGTTGACTTATTTTTAATGGCCACAAAAATAACCTTGAATGTCTAGTTTAGACGAAGCTAATATTTGTATTTTCACAAATTTACGCAAACCTAGATGATGAAATTCAATAGTTAGATATCCAACTGGTGAATTGACGTTGTTCGTTAGCTCAAGAGGGACATCTATACTAGTCAGCCATTTCACTAGGTTTGAACCACAAAATATATATGAACACCAACACAGTAAGGTAACCAACTTGCGAATTGGCGCTGTTCGTTAACTCCATTGGTCATTGTAGGATTGGAATTAAACTTCTAAGGAATATTAAATTATTTATTTAGTTCAAAAATAAAATGTACACAAGTAAAAAACGCTCTTCTGGATGTGTGTTTAAAAATGGCAAGCATTTTTTTAATAGCTACGTCAGTTATTTTTATAACCAACATTGTATACATAATGAAAAGAAAGGCAACATAAAAATAACATCATAGTTCATTATTCAATCCACAGTTTGCATTACCTAATTTAATAATATAAAAATCATGTTTTAATCACATAAAATCAATATAGAGTACATACAATACAAAAGTTGTTATTTTTAGAATCGATTCATCTAACCAACAATTTAAACTTTTTGAACTCCATGAAAATAAATTCGCATAGTAACAAAAACCGTTAAAACAATAGGTTTATCTCTGTTATTATTTCAAACTACACCTCTTCTTCATATAAGTTTATTTTCGAAATGAGTTAGCCAGCAATGTCGTTGTCTCTCACGTGAAGATTATATGATGTTCAACCGGCCAATAGAAATATAACATCGTAACGCACGTCGGTCTACAGATATATAGAACAGTAAACATAAATTTTCAATTACTTGCTAGATTTTCGCAACACAATAAGTTGTTATAAGCCAACTTTCAATTACAAAATATTATGTAAACCAGTAGATTAAGTATAGTGTTCATAAACGTTAAAGTTTATGTTAGAGTTTATCAAGATTTAAATAAACTTGTCAATTGTATCCACACCTATAAGAAAAAGAAAATAATGGTATAGCTTTTTTTATAAACTTTATTTAATTACTTTTCAAAAATACTTTTTAATGCTTTATTTTCTTTATGAAAAATATAGTTGGTATAGAATTAGTTAAATTATAAATATAAATACAATATTAACCTAAATAATCTAAAAAGAGACAACAAATGACAATCGAAAGCCAATGTTAAAGTGTCCATTTTAATAATAATAATAATGATTTATTTTATGACAATTATAATATGTATGAAATTAGTCAATATTTAAAATACAATCTTAAACTTAAACTAGATAATCCAACTAAATATTGGTTAGAATATGTATTCCTCTCTGTAGAAAGCTTGAATATTTGTTAGATACTTCTTTAAATTCTAAAGCATTAGGAGCAGAAGAATTAAGTGAGCGGTATACAGCCTCAAAGAGTCAGAATCTTTGTGCAATTCTTGATAATTGAAATATACCACTTAATAAAGTTGTGGAGGTGGTGAAGAACAATGAGGAAAACATGGTAGCAGCTATAAATCAAACTGAAGAACTTCAGAAATATAAATATGTATCTTGCTTTGCCCATACGTTAAACTTGGGAGCTGAAGTAGCTACAGGACACCCCACAGTTTCACCACTTATTTCCAAAGTTAGAGAAATTGTGAAGTGGGTAAAAGAAAGTGTGATCAATGATCAAATTCGTCAAAAACAAAGGGAGTCAGGAATCGAAGGAGATTTAAACAAAATTATTCTGTATGGTAAAACACGCTGGAATTCAATGTTTTATATGATAGAAAGACTCTTAGAGCTGCAAGAGGTGGTAAATCCAATTTTATTAAAAACGATCCGTATGTATCGATTGTAGAGGCATTCGAGATCTAGCCCTTGAGAGAGATACATTAATGGCATGTTAACGTTTCTGTTCCGTTCAATAAATCATAGTGTTTAATTTAAAACAACCAATAGAAAAAATACTTCTACAGACGGTAGATAAACAACTTTTACTGCTTCTCCACTAGAATTTATGACCAAAGAACTATCACCATTACCATTTTAAAGATAATCTTTATGTTATTTTATGCTTACCAGCAATTAGATCAAGTGGACATAAAGAATGGTAAATATGGAAGGAAATGACTAAGAAATTCGGACAAATTGAATTCTGTTTACCATTATCATTTGCAACGTTACTAGATCCACATTTTAAAAATATAAATTTAGTGAATCTACTGACATCCGCTGGAGTAATCGAAAAAAAAAAATTCTTGACTCAGAATCAATGTTAAGTGAGACTGAGGAGCCGGTAACAGACGAATATGAAGATTATAAATCAAAGTACTTGAGACATCATAATGAAATGGCTCAGAAAAAGAAAAAAACAGCAGTTCTAGTACATACCGTACAGATGATAAACTCACTTTATATTTAAGGAACCCTATGCTACCTTTAAAGTCTAATCCCTTTAAAATACAGAGAAGTTCCGATACTCTGTGGTATCGATACTTTTCTTACGATACGATACCAGTATCGAACTTTATTTTTTGATATATTGTAATACCAAGTATCGATACTCTTCTTGGTATCGCACGTTCGTAAGGACCGATTTCACCGTTGTGTTAAACGAAGTTTAAAATGACATTTTTACATTAACAATGTCATTTTAATCTCCGTTTAACACAACGGTGGAATCGGTCCTAATAACAGCCCGGAACAGTGTTGCCAACCTTGAAGTAAGATTTTTCCCTCCAATTACCCTAAATGAAAAAAAGCCATACCGTTTAGGGATGCCACCGTTTCATTCCTCAAAACCCGGATCTTTGTTTCTAAAAAAAATCCTCATAATTTAATTTTATAAACCTAGTCCTTCTGTCTTTCAGCTTCTAAAATAAAAAAACAGTTCCAAGTATCCTTCTGTCCAGCTTCTAAAAAAATCCTCACTGTATTGTTAATAAACCAAAAAAAAGTTTTTTTCTAAAAGTTATCCAAGTATTCCCGGATGTTCAATTTGAACTGGATTAAAAATTGCCTTTTTGAGTTAACTTTTATCCTCTTGGGTTAAAAATTCCCGCCTGTTGGCAACACTGGCCCGAAAACAAATACATTAACGCCGATTGTAGAAACCTACATTCTTACCAGAGCTGTCACCTATCAGTAAGATTTAAATCATTTTTTGATTTAAATACTTTGATTTTAAATCTTTTTTAAAAAAATGATTTTTGATTTATGATTTAAATCTTTTTGAAAAGTATCTTTGATTTTTTATTTAAAAATTAGATTTAAATCTTTTTAAAACGATTTAAATCTTTTTAAAATGATTTAAATCTTTTTAAAACGATTTAAATCTTTTTAAAATGATTTAAATCTTTTTAAAACGATTTAAATCTTTTTAAAGCGATTTAAATCTTTTTAAGATTTTTAAGATCACCTGATTCGTCAAAATCGTTATCAACCTGTCTATTCCTGAATAACAATCTAGCCAACATGTCAGTAGGGTTGAATCAGAAATCTGAGAGAGAAAAAAGAAAAAGAAAAAATAGTGAAGTTTAACAAATAATTGCAATGACTAAAGATTATTCTTAAGTATGAAATTTTACAATATTTTTGACCCGATATTTTTTTTACACCGCAAGCAGCTAGAAATACTTTTTCATTATCGATATAATCCTGAAACTCTTTACAATATGTATTTTAAATGTATGCACACTTTTATTTCAGATTTGACATGAGTTGCATTAAGACGATTATGACTTTTTGACCAGTTCAATAAACACGCTTGGCATAGATAGAGCGAATTAATTAAATTTTTTATTTCTTTGCCTGATTCATCCACACATTTTTCAAAAAAATTAGCCCAAACGCGCTCACTTTGGTTATTTATTTCCTCGCAATAACTTCACGTTGAGAGAAGAACTCTTTTAATTCAACCCACTCAATTTCATTATTCATAGCCGGGAGATTTTGAAAATGAAATGCATTTTTCCGGGAGAGTCTCCTAAGTACAAAAAAAAAATATTTTTAAAGAGTCTGATGTATGTGCATCTATGGGCCATTCGCACCACTATTCGTTAAGCGATAAGCTGAGGTTAAATTGACATTGAATTACATTTTCATTCGCACCGTCATTTTTCTTTTCGTTAAGTAGTTTACCTAAACTGTAAATATTTGAGGTTTAAGATTTTAACGAAAGAAAATTGACAGTATGTGACAGATTTGTCAAATTGATAATTACGTGAAAAGAGCCATTATTTTTTTAAAATTTGGTGTGGTGTCCAAATTAAAATGGATTTACTGTTAAGGGATGATGACGATGATGAATTGGAAGCTGTTGAATTAATATTAAATGGAATACCGCGAAGAGTGTATACGAAAAGCTAATATTTTGATAGTTTCGATCCACAGACCCTTTTTCTAAGATTTCGGTTATCAAAAGAGGCTGTTTTGGAATTATTATCGCAAATAGAGAATAATTTGAAATTTCCCTATAATATGTTTGTATTAAATCCTACAATATTGGTATACATTTTGTGAGTTTATTCGATTTTTTTTAATGAATCCTATTAAAGAACAAGAAGCACCCTTGAGTAATATATGTAGAAGTACTACTTTGAAAATGGGATCAATTTTCTTCAAGTTCTTGAACAATTTAGAGACCCTGACCTACCACCCCTACATGATTATGTTGCCATCAACCTCAGAAATGAGTTAATAGATTACTTTGAAGCCCATGGTAATAGATTTGTATAATTCTTCAATAAAAATATAATTTTTAATATTTTTTTATAACTTTTTTTCTTACTAATAACTCTTGAAATAACCAAAAAACCAGTTGTTTAGTAATTATATTTTATGGTAAATACAATAGAAACGGAAAAATCGATAAATAAAGACAAAAAAAAAATATTTAGAAATCATTTATAGCAAAAAACCATAAAACCATAAATCTAAATATCTGAAAAGCAATCTTATACGTAGGTCATGATAAAAAAAGAAGAAAATCTCATAGTTGCCAAGTATTTTATTTGTTAAATAAAGCGTTGATTAAAAGCTGTTGGTGCGAACCATCATATCATAAACTTCACGTTAAATTTATCTAAAGCTTAGTTAACGAATACTTTTATGTGGTACCCGTGCGAATGGCCCTTAGTGGGGTGTTTATGTATGTACAATCTTAAGCACGTTAACTCAAGGAAGAGTTGACGGATTTAAATTATTTAAAAAAAAAAAAATCACTTTTCTTAAAAACTAGGTCTCCATTGTTTTGTGGCATCATAGGCATACCAAAATTATCTTTTAAAGGGTTTTTAAAATTCCTATTTACTAATCGACATGACATTTTTAAATAACAATTTTCATAACTATAGATATCAATCTGCATAAATCCTTAAAAATTTTATCCTGATCGGCTATTTATTATTTAAAATTAATATTTCCGTAAGAATTGCATTGGGCTAATAAAGATAAAAAACAAATACGAGAAAAGTTGATCGAGTTTTGCGTTTTATTTATGAGAAAATCACATAACTTAAGTATTCATTATCTTTGGCCTACCGAAAGCATTTGTTAAAGAGTTACCCAAATCTATAAAAAGATTTAAATATTTTGAAAATATTTATTTCGTTTAAAAAGATTTAAATCTTTCCTAAAATGATTTAAATATTTCGAAAAGATTTAAATCTTTCGAAATGATTTAAATCTTTCCTAAAATTATTTAAATCTTTCGAAATGATTTAAATCTTTCGAAATGATTTAAATCTTTCGAAATGATTTAAATCTTTCGAAAAGATTTAAATCTTTCCTAAAATGATTTAAATTGTAAAAAAGATTTAAATCTAAAAAAGATTTTTGATTTAAATCTTTCTTTTTAAAAAATCGATCTTTGATTTAAATCATTTGTTCAAATGCAAACGATTTATGATCTTTGATTTAAATCGTTTTTAAAATGATCTTAAACAGCTCTGATTCTTACAATGTTTCTTTATTGTGAATTTTTAAATGCTTCCTTAGACTGACTTTCTGTTTGAATGCTTCGGAACAAATGTCACATTTAAATGGTTTCTCATCAGAGTGAATTTGTAAATGTACTTTTGCTAGCTTTCTGTGTAAACACCTTAGAGCAAATGTTACACTTTGGTTTTTGATCAGTATGAATTAATAAGTGTTCTTTTAGACGACTTTTGTGATTAAATTCTTTAAAACAAATGTCCCATTTGAAAGGATTTTCATTAAAGTGAGTTAATAAATGTTGCTGTAGATGGTACTTTCTGGTAAATTATTTTAAACAAATATCACACTTGATTGTTTCTTTATTGTGAATTTCTAAATGTTGCCTTAAACTAACTTTTTGTTTGAATGCTTCGGAACAAATGTAACTTATATGGTGTTTCATTAGAATGACTTTGTAAATGTACGCTTAAACTAGATTTCTGTGTAAATTCCTTAGAGCAAATGTTGCGCTTTGGTTTTTGATTAGTATGATTCAATAAGTGTTGATTGAAATGATGTTTCTGATTAAATTCTTTAAAACAAATGTCACATTTGTAAGGATTTTTATTAAAATGAATTTTTAAATGTGCCCTTAGATATACATTTTTAGTAAACTTTTTTAAACAAATATCACACTTAATTAATGTTTTTATTGTGAATTTTTAAATGACGTTTTAGACAAAGTTTCTGTTTGAATACTTCGGAACAAATGTCACATTTGAAAATATTTTCATTAAAGTGAATTAATAAATGTTGTTGTAGAGAGGTCTTTCTAATAAATTTTTTCAAACAAATATCACACTTGAATGTTTCGTTATTGTGAGTTTCTAAATGGTGCCTTAGACCGACTTTCTGTTTGAATGCTTCTGAACAATGATCACA